GCTTTTGCTGTATCCCATAAATTCTGGCATGTCGTATTTTCCTTTTCATTTGTCTCCAGGTATTTTTTTATTTCTTCTTTGATTTCTTTGTTAACCCAGTCGTTGTTCAGTAGCATTTTGTTTAATCTCCACGTATTTGTGGCTTTTCTGATTTTCCCTTCCTTTCTTTCTTTAAGTAGTTTCCTTTAGTTCTTTGAACTAGATTTCTTTGAACTAATGGTTACCTTGAAGTCTTTGTCTGTTAAATATGACATCTGGTCCCTCTCACAGACAGTTTTGTTACTTACTTTGTTTCCTGTTTATGGGTCACATGTTCTTGTTTATTTGGATGTCTCATCATTTTTTCTTGAAAACTAGACATTTTAAGTAATATATTGAACACTGGATTGTAACTCTAACCCTCTCCAAGACTTGTTCTTTATTGGTTTTTGTTGTTGTTATTTTTTTGTGGCTAGCTTGTTTTACCGAAGTCTATTTCCTTGTAATGGGAAGCTTTTACTACTGTTCTTCAGAGAGTGAAGCCTTGGGCATGTCCATAGTCACATTGGGATCACAGAGATTTTAGCACTGCTCTATCTCCTTCTCTGACCACTTTTAAGCTGTCTGCTTCACGTATTATTTCACCTATTAGGCTCCACTAATTACTAGCTGACTGCTATAATGTTTTCAACAATGTTTTGAGGCACAAATTACTCAGCAGTCTGGTCCAATTAATGAAGGGATGGTTTTTGAAGCCAGTCTTTGTGGTTTGCTCTAATCCCAGGAGGGCTCTTTGCAGCTGTATCGTTCCTTGGTTCTCTCTGGTGAACTAGCTGGCCTATGGTATAGCCTCTTGCTCTTAAGTGAGAGGAACTAAAGATTTCAAGAGTGTCCTTAGACTTGAACTTCCCACACTCTGTTTCAAATAGTCATTTGCTTTGGGTAGACTTTTGGAGCTCACTTTTTTTTATCGACTGCCTCTATCCCTGGGAAAATGCTCAGAAAAACTACTATGGGTACTGGGTGGAGTGGTAGTCTCTTGACTTCTAGGTTTTTTTCTGTCCCTGTGTGGAACCTCTGCCCTATGAGAAAGCTGGGGCAAGGGGGAGAAGTCAGGGCTCCAGTATTCTAGGCCTGCCACACCTAGAGTGGAATCTCCATCCAATCAATAGAGACTGGGTGAAGGAAAGGAGCCCTTGGGCTCTTGGCTGCATTGACCAGGAATTTAGTCTTTTCAACTTGGAATTGGAGGGGACAAGAAATGCTGGCAGCCTGCCACTCGACGTGAAATATGATAAGCCTTGATTGGGAGCTATACACAGACCTTATATGCTTTACAAAAATTTATTTAAAATGGATCATACACCTAAACGTCAAGTGCAAAACTCTAAAACTTCTAGGACATAAAAGAAAATCTAGATGACCTTGGGTTTGACAATGGCTCTTTAGATACAGCACCAAAAGCATGATCCATGAAAGAAAGTGATAAATTGGACTTCATTAAAATTAAAAATTTCTGCTCTGCAAAAGACACTGTGAAGAGAATGAGAAGACAAGCCACAGACTGGGAGAAAATATTTGTAAAAGCTATACCCAATAAAGGACTGTTAGCCAAAATATACAAGAACTGTTAAAACTCAACAATAAGAAAATGAACAATCTGATTCTAAAATGGGCAAAAATCTGAGCAGACATCTCACCAAAGATATAAATATGGAAAATAAGCATATGAAAAGATGCTCAATATTATGTCATTAGGGAATTGCAAATTAAAACAATGAGATACCACTACACACCTGTTAGAATGACCAAAAATTTAAATACTGACAATACCAGATGCTGCCAAGGATGTGGAGCAGGAGGAACTGTCAATTATTGCTGGTGGGAATGCAAAATGGTACACTTTGGAAGACAGTTTGGCAGTTTCTTACAAAACTAAACATAGATTTACCATACCATTCAGCAATTGCAATTCTAGGTATCTATCCAAGTGAGTGAAAGCTTACAATTACACAAAAACCTACACATGAATGTTTATAGCAGCTTTATTAATAATGGCCAAAAATTGGAAGCAACCATTTTTATTAAAGATATCCTTTATAAAAATGTCCTTTAATAGGTGAGTGGATAAACCATGCTTCATCCATAAAATGGAACATTACTCAGGGATAAAAAGAAATGAGCTATCAAGCCATGAAGAGACATGAATGAAACTTAATTTCGTAGTGCTGAGAGAAGCCAGTCTGTTAGTTTATGAATTAGGATCTAGTTTATCATCTTGAACATTCCATGTGCAATTGCAAGGAATATGAATTCTACTGCTGCTGTGTATAGTGTTCTACAAATATCAGTTATGACAAGTTGTTTAGATTTATTATTAACTTTCTAGCTAATTGTTCTATTAATTCTTAAGAATAAAGTATTGAAATCTCCAAATGTAATTGTGGATTTGTCGGTGTCTCCTTGTAGTTCTATCAGTTTTTGCTTTAGGTATTGTTATGTCTTCTTGGACAATTGCCCTCTTTATCATTATGTAATGTCCCTTTTTATCCTGAGAATATTCCTTCTTCTGAAGACTACTTTTTTATATTAATATAGCCACTCCAACTTTTTGATTAGTGTTTGCATAATATAACTTATCTATGTATTTTTACTTAAAGTGAGTTTCTGGTAGAAAGCATATAGTTGAGCCTCGAGACAAAAGATTTGAACGACTACTTAGCTTAAAATTTTATATGAGTATTCAATAAAATTAAGTCAGTTTTAAGTTACATTTTTCTAGGAATTTGTCTATTTCCTCTAAAATCTTCAGTCTCCTTTGGCATAAATTAATACTATTCTTTGGGTTTTTTGGGTTTTTTCTTTTGTTATGTTCCCCCTTTCACATTATCTCTATGTACCTTTTCTTTTTATCTTGAAGAATCTGTCAAATGCTTGTCTATTTTATTAGTTTTGTAAAAGAAACAAATATGGGGTTTTATTGATCTTTGTTGTGTCTGTTTTCTATTTCATAAATTGATGCTTTTACCTTTAATACCTCCTTCCTTCTACTATCTTTGTTTTTCCTATTTTTCCTACTATATTCTTAGCTTGGATACTTAGCTCATTAATTTTCACCCCCTCTTCTTTTCTAATATAACTATTTAAGGCTATAAACTTTCCTCAAAGCATACTTTCACCATGTCTCACAGGTTTTTATATGTAGTATTTTCATTATCATTAAATTTTAATTATTTCAAGACATCCCTCATTTCTTCTTTGATCCACAAGATATTTAGGAATGCATTTTAAATTATTAAATATATGTAGATGTTTTATTTACATTCTTTATTAATATATAACTTAATTGCAGTGTGGTAAGACAACATGGATCCTATGATACCAACACCTTAAATCAGTAAATAATTTTTTATGGTCTAATGCAGAATCAATTCTTGTAACTGTTCCAAGTATGCTTCAAATGAATTATGTTTTCTGTAATTTTTTGAAGCAGAAGTATATATATTTCAATTTCCATTTGGTGAGGCTTATACATTGTGGTGTTTAAATCTTCTGTATGCTCTTGATTTGTATATGTTATTTCTCAATAATTGAAAAGAGCTATTGAATTCTCTCACTTGGATTTTTCAATTTCTCCATAGACTTCTATTAATTAATATTTTGTGTATTTTGAGGCTATTTTTAAGTGTATATGTAATATTATGTAACATTTTCATGGAAGTGACATCCCATCACCTTTGCCATTATCCTATTGGTTAGAAGCAAGACACAGATCCTGCCCACATTAAAGGGGAGGAGATTTACACAGTGTAAGGATCATAATGGATCTTTCTTTTAGATCTACTCTTAGAGTCTTACTTACACAATAAGTATTTGTTATTATTAAACACCTCCCGGATAATACAACTAGCTTAGAACACTTCAACTCCATTTATACCCATCCCAACTTAAATTGTCATGTATTTGACAAAGTGGACTTCATCAAATTAAAAACTTTTGCTCTGAAAAATGCACTGTTAATGGAAAGACAAGCCACAGACTCAGAGAACTTGATTCCAAATAATATATCTGACAAAGGACTTCTATCAAGAATATATAAGGAAACCTAAACACCCAACAATAAGAAAAGCAAGAACCCAGTAAAAAAGGGGGCAAAAGATTTGAACAGACAATTCACCAAAGAAGATGTTCAGATGACAAATAAGCATATGAAAAGATGCTCAAACTCATATGCCATTAGGGAATTGCAAACTTACACCAAAATGAAATATCACTATATACCTAGTAGAATGGCTAAAATTTTAAAAAAATTATGATAATACCAAGTGCTGATGAAGATGTAGAGCAACTGGAACTCATCTATTTGTGGTGGGAATGCAAAATGATACAGAAACTTTGGAAAAGTTTGGCACTCATTCCCACTCCTAGGCATTTACCCTCTAGAAATGAACATTTATGTTCACACAAAACCATTATCCGAAAGTTTATAGCAACTTTATTCATAATCACCAAAAGTGGAAACATCTCAAATGTCCATCATTTAGTGAATGGATAAAAAGCTGTGGTACATCCAAACAATAAAGTACAACAATAAAAAGGAATGAACTGTTATTACACATAACAACATGGATGAATCTTAAATGCATATTACTAAGCGAAAGAAGCTAGACCAAAAGGTCTACATATTGCATGAGTCCATTAATACGATCTTCTGGGAAAGGCAAAACCATAGGGATCAAGAACAAATCAGTGGTTTCTAGGGTTTGGGAATGGGTAAAGAGGTTGACAACAAAAAGAGCAATCGAGAAAAATTACTAGTGATAAAAGTGTTCTGTATGGTACTGGAATGGAAGAATACGTGACTCTGTATTTGTCAAAACCCACAGAATTATACACCATAAGACTGAATTTTACTGTATGTAAATTAGAAATAAAAATCTCTAAACCAACAAATATGTTTTTGACTATCAAATGAGCACAGATTTTAAAAAGGCCATGTTTTGATGAATGTGCGTAAAAATATACACATTTATATACCACTGATGGGAATGTAATTTGTACAATTATATTGAGGACAATTCAAGAACTGTCCAGGTACCCTAATAATGCTCTCATCATTCAAACTCAGTAATTCTAATTACACAAATTTATTCTGAAGAAAACATTAGAGATGCACATAAAGATTAATGTACAATGATGTTCATTACATTTTAATTTTATAGGCAAAACTGGTAATACCCAAAATGTCCAGCAGCATGGGATCATCTAAATAAATTTTGTTAGATCCATATGAAATACTATGTAACACCTAATATTGTGTTTTCAAAGAATGCCAATGACATGGAAATATGCTTGGTTATTTTCAAATGAAAAAAGTTGAAGAACATATACAATATGAAGTCAATTTTGTTTTTAAATTTTGTTATACACATTTTTTATAAAAGTGTAAAAGGAAACACTCTAACGTTCTGAGTTACTGTTTTCTGGGTTATAAGATTATAGGTATTCTTTAATTTTTAATTTATACCTTTCACTTAATTTTTTACCAATTAGTTGTTACTTTTATCATCAAGAAAAAAAGTTTCTTATTTTGAAAAAACAAACAAGACCAGCCTAATCCAGCCAAGCCCACGATCTTTTCAGTTGCTATCTTCACTTAGAAGGCTATACTTTTGTTCCCTGGATGCTTGTTGTCCTCCTGCTCCTTCAGGTACTGGACTCATTGCAGATGAACACCTGTCAAAGTGACAGAGATTGGTAGCATCTCTCCAAAAGCATGAAACCTCTAAGTTAAACTGCTCTAGTCAGCCACAAGCTGATACTGGTATCAATCTCCATGACCCATGTAGAGAATAGACGTCTTTAAAAGCTGTAATATCCATCTTACGTAATTGGAATTTTCCCCTCTTCTAAATCGCTTCTATGAAAGAATCTTTTATAATCCTTCTCCAAAGCAGCTCTTCTTTTTATTTTAGATATTCCATCACGCTCTGGGGAATGACAAATAATAGCTAGAAGCATTGACCTTTCATTGTACTGTTTCTTTATGTCATATCTGGTGTTTGGGGTTGCCTGGAGCCATTCTGCTTACTGTCTCTGGCCCATCCATCCTATTAAAAACAAAATACTGAGCTATTTGGTACTACTTGTGCTATCTCCTCTGTCGTTGCTCCCTTTAACACCCTGTCACTGAACCACAGTTCTTCTAAGTTGCAAACCTTGTACTGGGATGTTTTTCAATAAAGGTCAACAAAAATCTCCACAAATGCAGCCCTACCTGAGAAGAGTGGCTGGCAGTGACTCTCACAAGTAGCAACAAAGTAGTGCAGTGCAACAACTTATCTTCCATCTACCTTAAAAAATTACGGGTTATGAAGCAAGTCTCAGTGCATCCTCTTTGAAAGGATTTTACGACCTCCCTCACTTTCCTCTTCTCCCTCCCACCATTCCTAATGGCAGTAAGGAGTTCAATCCTATTTTCACTCACAAACATCAGGGATCTCAGGTTTGCTTCCTTCATTCATGTAGGCTTCCAGGTCCAATATCCACTAAAATGTCAAGCATTTGTTACTCCATTATGGGATTTCATAGCCTCCCTCTTCTTCCTCTCTGCCCTCCACTCCTTCTCTCTCCTTATATCCAGAGAGAAACATGGGTGTCACTCCCAACACTCACTGAGACTTCATTCACTCATTCACAATAAGGCTCCTCCCAGATGTGGGCTGTCACAGACATATGGCCTGGGTGAAGGAAAGGAAAAAACACCTGATGAAACCTATCAGGGTGGGGCAGGAAATGAAAGGTGGTTAGTAAGAGCAAGGAGTGCACTAGAAGGACTCGGAAGAAAGGAGAGGCAAGGCTCAGGATAAGGCACCAGAAGGTGTGACCAAGGGTGTCCTGAGGAATCACTAAGAAGGTATTTGAAAGGCACAAGACTTTCCACTTCCCCCATGCCCTATTCTGCCCACTCCCAAAACAGACAAAATGTAACCAGGGCCCCTGATATTGTTTCCTATTAAGATATAAGATTTCTGTCCTTATATACCATAAATCTTAAGACAAGTCCTAATCTCTGATGACCAAGTCAGAAGGGGGGGTTGGGTTGGGGCAAGCTCTCCTACTGCTGTTTCATAATCAGGTGAGACATCAGGGGTAAATCCTGAGGCTGGAGTCAGTAGGGTTGTTGGCCTTGGCTACAGCTTCTCCCGTGGCTGCTATGAGATCAGGTAGGAGTGGGTATCAGGTTGATTAACGTGAGTATTGTCCAAATTCAGAGGCAACTATGACAAATTCAACCCCAACCTTAGCATCCATGCCTCTCTGGGTCTTAAGAGATGTGAAGAAGGAAGTATTAATGAAATAGAGTGACTCCCAAGGACATATACGTGGGCTAGAAAAGTGCCAGAGGAAGTCATGGCTTTTGTTTGCTTTCATCAGTGATACCTTATTCATGGGGCTGAAGGAAAAAGAAAGAATATGAGCACAGAGATAGGGGTTACTTTCAAGTCAATTGACTGTTTTCCTTCCATGAAGCTGGGGTTCTTTGTTGCTAAAACTCAAACTCATCTCTGGTAGCCTATATTCCAGCATTGGAACTCAGCAATTTTTGACTGTTGGAGGCCTAACAGGGCAAGTATTATGCCATATTATAAGGATTTTCTTTGCTGTGAACATGGAATGCTCTTTATGGGAAGTAACAGTTCATATACACACATACAGTACAACTTCTGAAAAAAGAAAGGAGCTGAGAGGGCTAAGCATGAGATTGAAAAGAGCAACATGTGGTCTGGAGAGTCTCAAGAGTGATCCCTCTGTTGAGTCATGCTTTGTGAAGCTGAGATGAAGAGAGGCTGCAGTCACCCTCTGCTCCTTTCCTTTTCTTCTCCCTCACATGAAGTCTTCTACCAGTTCCTCCTGAGGAATAAATATAAAGCAGCCCCCACAGGAGGGGTTGGGCTGTCTGAGGGCCTGGTCACTAAGGCAGTGGCTCTAAACCTTGATTAGAATATTGACTCATTTAAAGACTATAACAGAAGAAAAACCACTATATGCAATGTCAGAGGGTTCACAGAGACTCTCTTCTCCTAAACTTTACCTTCCAAGTCCAAGGGCCATCTCTCCACATCAATTTCTAGCCCTCCTTCCCAACAGCACAGGAAACATCTACAATATGGCCACTAAACTGGATGTATCCTGACCCTAGAAGAGCTTTTACAAAGTGGTTTTGTTATTCACCCATTGATGTGAGCTTTGTCTACCCTTCATCTTAAAAGCTCAATGTGTCTTGTTCTAGTTAATCAATATGCGTGTTTTTAAAGTACAGTGCCTAGTTTTTTCCAACAGCAGTACTAGCTCACTTCTCAACTCAGAGACTCAGAAGCCAAAATACATTGTGGAACATAGCCAAAAAAAGTTTGTACCATGTGATGACGTTAGGTCAAGGTCAAGGAAAAATTCTGATCCTGAAGAAATCTTTTTATGCCACTTCAAGCTGACCAGTCCGCTGATCTTTCAAAGAGTTAGGAGATGGCCACAGGATTCCATCAGTGCTAAGGGCCAGCAGCTCCCCTAGCTGTCCTTGCCTAGGATTGCTGCTCATCCTCTCACACCTGAAATGTGACAGACCCACATAGCAAGGTGCCGGGCATAGAGCAAGCACTCAATAAAGGAGGGAATCATTTTAGCTGGGCATTCTGCCAGTCAACACCTCAGTGCAATGTACAAACCATAGTTTTTGTATCTCCTAATAATCCCCACCACTCTTCTCAGGCTCGTACTATCCCACTACATCCTCTCTTCTCTTGGATCTGCAGTTGCCATGTGCCAACCTCCAGATCATTCCTCACTGAAGCCTATCGTACCTGGCCCACAGTGTTCATTCCCGGCCCAGCTTCTGCTATAGTCCTGGGTCACCTCAATATCCATGTAAATGACCATCTGACATCCTAGTTTCCCAGGTATCTTGATCATTCCAGTTTTGAAATCTTAACATTCCAAAACCTACTCTCTGATTACAGGTCCTATCATTCCAGTTTTCCAACTACTCAACACCCATCTTGATCACATTAAGGCCTCTTTTTGTACACAGACTCTGAGCTCACTTCCACCTTTCTTCCATACAGTCTGGCTTCTCAAGTCCATTTCTGCGTAACCTCTCTCTTGCTAGCTGTCCACTCCTCAATCAAGGTAAATTACAGGCAACCAAATGTTACTTGTGACAATGGCCCAAGCTTACTTTATATTTTCCTGAGTTTCTAATCAAATTTCAAACTAGATTCTCACTTTGATATACTATAAGCTCTCCTGATAATAGCCCCACTCCAGCCTTTTGGCCTGGATATTTCTTAAAGATTCTGATTTGTCTTCATAATCCCGTCCCTGGTCAGCTTCCTCTCCATTATCTACCTCTACAATTACAAATCTTCAACACCCTTATCACAAATCTTCAACACCCTTATCAAGTACTCTTCCTTAACTCCTATCCCTATCTCTATGCTCCAGTGAAGAGGTAATTCCTTTCATCTGAGACTAACCCTCCACCCATGTCCTAGAGCCATAGGTTTTGCCTTCCTATCTCTACCTGCATCATCTTTCAGGATCTTATTTCATCTGTTATCATCTCTCTCTCCCACATCTACAATGCCTCCCTTCTCAGTTCTTCCTGCCCCACAGTCTGAAAGTATACTCAATTTTCTCCCATATTAAAAAGGAGCTTATATGACTCATTGTAGGGTCCTGGAATGGTTAACTTGTATTCTAGTTGTCACATCTCACAGAAAGAAGACTTCTCATGGAGCAATAATGATTAATCACACTAAAGAAGAAAAAGGAAATGTGAGCCTCTTGAGCGGTGAACAGAAAGTGGAGGCCTACCTGTCAATGTAGTAAAGGGATACAGCTGAGGTAAAGTTGAAAGGGGAAAACTGTGAATATCAGCCACAGGAGCAAATCCAAGACTGTGAGGATAAAGTTTCTGATCAATGATCACTCTGGTCCTACCCAAGGAGCAACTGGCAGCAATTGTAGTAGCAGTAGTAGCAGTAGCAGCAGTAGCAGCAGCAGCAGCAGCAGCAGCCACGCAACATCTACAAGTAGCCAAGACTAAAATGCAGGCATAGAAACAGTATTTCATGGAAAACACAATATTAAATCACATATATGTGGCACTTGTGCTGCTACTCCCCCTTCTCCCACCCTCAGCAAACATCACTAATTAGTTATAACCCTCTTTCACACTGAGCTGAGACCTGGCTTCAGAATCCTTTTTATAAGACATAATCAAGGCAGGCACTATCAATCAATTGGAGATAGTACTTGAGATGAAATATATTTGCTATCCTTGCACTACACAGAAAGGTCCTCAGCAAAAGAATTAGAAGATAGGAGTAAGCTTCAGGAGCAAGCATATTGAAGACAGCTTGTTCGTTGTAGGCAACTGGCGGGGACAAGCTGAGCTCATGGAGATCACAGAGCAGGCGCCCAATTAATGTCTGTTGATGATTCATTTTTTCATTCAACAAACATTTAATGAGGCCTACAATGTGCACTGGATTAGGCACTGCGAATACAAAGATGAATAAGGCACTGTCCTTGCACGTAAGGAATTTAGAGTCTGGTAGACGAGAGCCATAGACACGGACAATGATAATACAACCTGATAAGTGCTAGGACACTTAGCAGGTTGTATTATATCCATCCGAGTAGGATTTCTTCAGAAGAGCATAACTCCAGGTTGCTGTTGGATCCATGAAGTCCTCCCAGCCACCAGGGCCTGCTGTTGTTTCTGTCACACGGTGAGTGTCCCAAGAACTAACAATGATAGCTGTAATTTATAGAGCACTTATGACATAACACTTTACAAATATCCTCATGGAAACCCTGCAAATTAATTATCATGTTAGATGAAGTGAGGTTCAATGAGGTTAAGTAACATGCCTTAGATCACACAGCTAGTAAGCAGTCGAGTCAGGTTTCAAATCCAGTTTTGACCAACTCGAAAACATTTTTCTACGTTTTTAGGATAACCTTTATTCATGTGTAACACAACTTTTCACAGCTTTCTATTTGGAAATAAGAGCAAAGGCAACAGATTAATGATCAGGACATAGACAAAATTCATCTGGTTTCCCAACCTATTTGGCAAAGAAAAAAAAAAGAAAGGCAGAGAAATGAATTCACACTAGCATACCATTGAAAATCTTGAGGTCAGTTTGTTTTTCTTTCTTTCTTAAACCCCAACATCTTCACTGATGATGTAAAATAGAAGCAATTCTAGTTAACTATCTTCTTTTAATCCTTGTCATGGTCAACATTATCAGCGGCAACTATAGTTGATACAGCATTTAGCATATTCCAGACCTGTTCTAAGCAATTTACGTAATCCCATTAAATTCTTACATTCGCCCCCTCCAATCACTGCAAAAAGATATTATTACTCCTATTAAATAAGAGGAAACAAAGTCCCAAAGAAGTGAAAAACCATGCTCAAGACCACATTGGTAAATATGGGAGCAGATCTGAGCTCAGGCTATCTAGTCCCAAGGCCCAAACTCTCACTAAACTGCTTTGCTGTCCTGCTCAGGGCTTCCTCTCCCACCCTTTCCCCTACTGCCCTCCGGATGGATAGTTACATAAGGCCCACCGAAAATACATCAGGTTTACTTAAATATAATCTACCATTAATCATTCTAGTCACAGAAAGCCATTCTCTGAATCCCCAGGGTCACTACTCTGAGCCTTAAGTGGAGAATTTCCCAAAGAACATTGTGTTTATATTGCTTTGAGAAAAGAGAAAATAAACAATGGATATGTTTAGATTTTTAATTATTGAACATATTTTTTCCTTGGAGGTGTAACCATAAACGTTTATAAATCTCTAAGCAAAATAAAGCAATTGAGACAATAACAACTAAGGCCATTTCTTCCCTGAGTGGGTTTTAGATATAAACGCCTCCACTTTTGGTAAAAATCCTCTGGGAGACGTGACAGTGAGAGTAGGCCTGCTGCTGCTAAAGACCGGGAACTTAGTAATACTATAAGAGGTCTGCAGCTGTTCAGACGTCTTCCTGAGAATCAACATTTCTTAAACGGCTGTCCCCCAAAAAGAAACTTCCAAAATCTGTGCAGTCAAGGCCTGGCCCAGAAGGAACCAATGGCAACGCCCATCTAAAGAACATAAGAGGATCTTTCATCAAGGCCAGGGTGGGGTAGGGGGATGCACATTTGCCAAAGTCTGAAAGCCTTGATTTTTCGCTCTTCTCAACCTTAATTTTCTCATGTTGTATTATGTCTGTTTTTATAACCTCTTATTTGGGAGGTAATCCCTTCTTCTCTACTCCCACTCCTTCTGGCCTTAGATCATTTATCATCTTAACTACTATAGTATCCTTCTAACTGATCTCCCTGTCTAGATTTGAAAATCTTCCAGAACTCTATACTACTGCCAGAGTGACCATCAAAAGCATCCCCTTCTTAAAACACTCAAAATGAAACCCAAACTTCATGGCATAATATATAAGGATCTATGCCCAGTCTACATTTCCAAGCTAATTTCATGAACTATTTGTAGTTCCAATTCATCATCCTATTTCCAATGTCCATGTCTTTGCTTAGAAGGTCATTCTCTTTGTTTTCTGCCTGGTCAAACTTTACTTTTATTAAGAATCAACGTAAGCATCAGTTCCTCCAACCTCTGGCATCTCCAGACTCAATCAAATGATTTCTCTTCTGAACCCCACAGCACCTTGTACATACCTCCATTGTAGAGCATACCATACTGTTGCAATTATCTGTGTACACGTTGAAGTCTCTCACTAGACTGAGAACTCCTTGAGGGCAGGAACTGTGTCTAATTCTTCTCCATATCCCCATCACCCAGCACAGTGCCTGGCAGCTCAAAAGGCAGTAGAGAGAAGCTGAAGATGCAGGAGAGAGAACAATAAAGCAGTATTTTTGAGGTGGGGCACAATACAAATATGCTGAATGAGTTGAAGCTATAGAAAAACATATTTCAGCTCAATATTGCAAAGAGGTCTTGAAAGAGACAAGCTGACTCAGGAAGGAGTTCCCCATCACTAAGTGCAGTTACTCAGAGGGTAAAAGACCATTTGTTGGGTATATTATAAAAGGACTTGCATTACGGGCAAATTAAAATAACCTATTTTGGATATGAGACTTTTAAGGTCTTTCCATCCCAGAGAATTTACATCTATAACCTATACAATAATCAAGAGAGCCATCACTCTGAGCCTGTCACAGACTCATGAGTCAGTGGTGGCTCCCAGAGTTGTGGGCAAGGGCTAAGGCCTCATTCCCATCCATACTAGACTGATTACAAACTTACAGCATAACCCATTCTCCAGTGGCCTGCTTCCCAGGCGACCCTTGAACCTGGAGCAGGAAATACTTTAAACACTTTCAAAGCCTCCAAGAAGGACCTCATTACCCAATGTATCTTCCACAACCTGCTACCTAAAGCCTTAAATTTCCTCCTTAAACCTTTAGTGCCTTTGATCAATGCTTGTTAAAATGCCAGTTATCTAATGTGGTGAGCTGGCATCAAGCAAGTGTATACTAAAGGATGTATAAAAGCAACACAACCCTTCTGTCCCACCTTCTCCCAACATAAATGAAAGAACACCTACAACATATTCTGATTTTTAATTCTGGTACTCAGTTTCCCCAAGTGCAAAATATGGAAGGTGTATGAAATGATCAGAGAAATTCAACAGTTTCTGAACTTATGTTTTTCACCTATAAAATAGACACATGGAATCTGTTCTTCCAATTTTACCAGACTTTTATAAGAAAGAAATAAAACCATGTTTGTGAAAGGCTTCTAAATGATAAAGTGCTATACAAATTTAAGGAATTACTATTGCAAATTAAAATATATGAGAGGAGAGAGGTAAAATAAGCATGCTCTGCCATTAATTAGATGAGTTACCTTAGCAAACTTATTCTACCTTTCTAGGATGCCTCAGAGGGTTGTGGTGATGATTAAATGGGAACATGTGAAGTAGGCACACAATAAAAATCAGTTTCCTTTGATCTGACTGAGGCTGAATCTCAAGAATAAATGTGACCTTCAAGTACATGTAATCTAACCTCTCATTCCATGCAGAGAGATTCTCAAATTCTATCCCAAGTGGTCATACAAGCCACTAGGTATCACTTCCAAGACTATTTTCATCTTTGGACAGTTCCTAAATCTGTTTCTTCATTAAATAGAACTGCCTTCAAAAGCAGCAAAAACTATCTCTGACTTCATAAAAGATTTGACAACAGACCATCAAACCCTCCATTTTGGAGGAGTTGTATCCCACAATCTAAACAGCTCTAATTCCTATGATGCTTCTCATAGGATCTAAGTTCAAATCTCTCTCTGTATCCTGAATGTTCTCCTCTAGCTCCGTCTCAGAGAGTTGCTATGAAAATTAAAAAACCACCAAATGGAACAGGATTTTTACCTCTCTGATTCTAAGCTTTTGTAGTGAGAACGCAAAGTTAGCTCTATATTGGAGGGTTTGAATGTCCTCAATGGGTACATATCCTGTAAACAACGAGCAATGAGTCCCCAGAAGCTTGCAGGATGGAGGAAGCACTTCTAAATGGGGAAGGGGAGGATCAAAAGGATGCTGACAGCACTAAAAACAAATATGGCTTACTACATAATTTCTCTAATATTACCAATCACTTCTGTACTTACACAAAACAGGGATGTGGAACATTATAAATAATGCAGGCTCCTAGGGCCATGTGGAAGAAATGTTAACATCATACCCAAAAAATAGATTTTATATGACTTCTATACTGAAGAGTCTAGTCTATGCAGATGACATCTTCTGTACTTTCCCCACCAGAATCTCAGTTCTTAAAACATCTGCCTATTTCTTTCAGAAACTAGGAAAAAAATACTGCAGATAATAGGTAGGATACATACACACATACACAATACAGAAGACCCGAATAAAAGGAGAAACATACCACATTCATATGTATGCGAAGATTATAAAGATGACATCTCTCCAAAAATTAATCTATACATTCAATGCCACTCCAATTGCAATTTCAATGGTATTTGTGGTGAGAACTTGACAAGTAGTTTCTAAAAGTCTCCTGGAAGAATAAGCACATGAATATAAAGAAATTTAAAAGAAAAAATAAGAATGAGGGATTTACCCTACTAGATAAAGTTGTTATTAAAAACTAGGCATGTAGGAAAAGACAGCACCCACATTGTTTAATCGCAAT